CACACACACACACACACACACACACACACACACACACACACACACACTCCTTCATAAGCGCTGCCTACTGTTCAGTTCCCTGCTGTCTTCTCCCGGGAGCCACCTCTAGATTGGTCCCCCCCCCCCAAACCCTCTCTCCCAATAAATCTTTTATGAGATTTGCTGCCTGGTGTGACTCTCATTGGAAGAAGTAAAGAAGGAAGGACCCAAAGAAGTGGAGAGGGGCTGAGGCTCCTGAGCCTCTCAGATCAGCTGGGACACCCTCCCCTGGGAGCTGAAGAAGAGTAGTCAAGTAGAGCCTTTAACACTGTAGCCCTCCAGCTCAGCCACGGATCAATAGTGTCTCTTGTGAGAAGCCTTCCTTTTAGAGCTCTGCTGTTCTTGGGCTCCCGTGTCTCAGCATACCTTTCCATTGGGACACTGTCCCACCTCAGAGCTGTGGTTCCAGGACTCCCAATTCCCAGGATACCTTTCTATCCGAGAAGGGAGGAAAACAAATAGTGGCAGAGATTCTAATTGTTTTTATTTTCTCTTGCTCTATCCCCAGTCCTTAATGCTAAATACCATGAGTAGAGCCAGGTGTGGCATATGCCTTTAATCCCAGTACTCAGGGAGGCAGAAGCAGGCAGATTGATGTGAGTTCAAGGCCAGCCTGTTTTACAGAGTGAATCCAGGACAGCCAAGGTTCCACCGAGAAACCCTGTCTTGAAAACAAACAAAAAAATTCCATGAATAGATGATTATAAAACAAATGCACCAATGTATAACAATATTAATCAGTAGGATTGGTTCTGGGATCAGAATGCCTAAGTTGAAATCCCGATTTTACCACTTGGTTTCATTTTTTTTTTTTTAAATGAAGAAAATAGTGTCCACTTCTTATGGCAGTTTTGAGATTAAATGATGTTATGTGTATAAAATATTTAGTCTCATAGAAAATAGATACCTGATATAATTGATGTGAATAAAACATAATAGGGTTCAGGGAGGGAACAAAAAAAGGCATAGGCAACCAACTCTTCTTATGGGAAATCCCCAAGTTGGTCAATAAGTTTACACTTTAACACAACAGTTTTTCCAGAGAGGCAAAAATAGGAATTCTGTTCAGTAATTCCTGATGTGACCTTAATACTACCTAAAATCTAACTATGTTTATGTTATCAGTTAATTCCCTTTTCTGTATAAGACTATTTCAAACTTCCTATAACTACTCATCACCATTTTGTTTTATTCTTTATTCTCAAATAACAACTTTACAATGAGCCAGCACTCGGGGAGGCTCATTCACTCTGTGAATTCCAGGCTAGCCTCATCTATAAACAAATCCAGGACAGCCAAGGCTACACAGAGAAACCTGTTTCAAAAACCCAAAACCAACCAACAAACAAAACAAAACAAACCCCAAAATAAAACTTTACCACCTTTCTTTTTCTAAGACAGTCCTGGTTGTCCTGGAACTCAGTCTATAGACCAGGCTGACCTTGAACTCACCTCCTGTTTCATTTTTTATTTATTTAAAGCAGGGTTCTCCAGGTGTGTGTGTGTGTGTGTAATAAAGGGAGGTTGAACTTGTTTCACACGTGTGGAGGTTTGTGCTGCATTTTGACACTTGTGTCCACACATATGTATGCACGGAAAATAAATACAATGTAAGAACTCGCAGTCACTTCTTCAGGAGGCTGAAGAGATGGCTCAGTAGTGAAGAGCACTTGCTATTTTGGAGAACCATAGTTTGACTCCCAGAACCCATGTGAAGAAGCTCACATCTGCACGTGACTCCAGCTCCAGGGGACCTGGCTTCCAAAGCACTGCATACATGTGTGCTCACACACACACACACACACACACACACACACACAAATGAATGCAAACTGCATACATGTGTGCTCACACACACACACACAGACACACAAATGAATGCAAACTGCATACATGTGTGCTCACACACACACACACACACACACAGACACACAAATGAATGCAGAACAAGCTACTTCTTTAGGGAAGATTCTGATCCCATAAAGAAGTACATTTATACTAGTGTATTTCCCATGACAAGATACACCTCTTCTATATAAAACTCACCAGAGTTGTACTTACTTTTCTTGTATTGACCTTTACACATTAAGTCCCAAGAGAACAACTACTGCATCTCTCATTTTTTTTAAATCTTCATGTCTTTTTTATTATCAGTTCGGTTTATTGAATATTATCACCTCACCATATGCCCCACGAAAGGGAGGTGCTTACAACCTGTCAGTTATGACTCCTGGAAAGAAGTTTCTTTCTTTATTTTTTTATTCACTTTACAGCCTTATTGTAGCCCATCCCTCCTAAACTTCAGGTCTTAAGATAACATCAGATTTGTATGTGAATACATAGTGTCACTTCTACCTAGAAAAGCAAAGACAGAATGAGAATCAGAAAAATGCATTCAAGAACCATAAATAACATGTCTTCTAATAGGAGCATAAGGAAAAAAAAAACCTGAAGAGGCTTAAAACGAGTCTAGAGAGGTCATGTGGGACATGTTCAAACAAAGCCCCAGTTGTGATGCTGAGTCTGATGTCACAAAAACCAATAAGCTAATGAGTAGTTATTTGTATTTTGTTTTGCAGTTGGCTAGTCTGGAAAATGAATTGGTAGATCTAAGGTCAAGTCCCTCTTTCTTCAAAAGAGAACCCCTAATTTAGTTGGCAAATGACTGGTAAGAATAGAGCTTACAGTCCCTGCCTCTTTTATAACAAGTTCGGGCCACATGAGAACTTTTTAACGTGTGACTTCCAGTACGTGTCCTTAAAGGAAGAAGACATACCCCTTGCCAACAAACTGCTCCACTCTGTTCCTTGAAAGGTTTACGTGATGAAGAAGGCTCCACCTTGGGCCACAGGGATGAAGGGAAGACCCCCGACAAGCTGTCAGAAAACTGAGAAGCAGCCTGGCAGCCCGTGTCTCTGACGATTGTGAAGCCACCACATGAGCTTTGGACTAGGTTTTTTACTTGAAAGAAATAAAAACTTGGTAAGCTGCTGTTTTGACTCTTTGCTATCATTAACTGAACTGGGTTCCAGCTAATCAAAAGGGATCTGTCCTCTGCATCATGAACTGATGGAAGTTCAATTAAGCTGCTGATAAAAAGGAGCTAAAGTATTAAATATTTACACAGAATTATAGGACCTACAAATTGAAAGAGTAAATGCTATAAAAGGGACTTTGGGTGATGACTGACCATACAGTGTTAGAAGAAACTATGCAGTGAGTTTTGGGATAAAAAGATAAATGTCCAGTTGGGCATGGCAGTTTGTTTCTATAGTGTAGAATTCCAGAGGCTACGATGCTGTTGGGAAGTAATTTCCTCCTAGAATAAGCACTACACCTTGGAGGGAAGCTTTTTAAGATAAAGAAGTATCTGCAAGGTCAAAGCAGGTCTCCAATCAAGAGCCCTGATGCAAGCTGTCCAGCTTCTCTTTTGTGTCTCTGTTCTTAGATTATCTATCTTTTCCTTGATTTCTAAGCTGTGGTGTTCTTTCTTTTAAAATTATGTCTGCACGAACCCTTACATTGTACATTAAATACACGTAGATTGTGTGCACACACACAGACACATGCACACACACACACTAGGCATAGGGAAAAGCAGCACTGTAATATCCCCACTGGAAGATCATAGTCAAGATGCAAAGAAACAGAATCAAGAGGTATGTAGAAATGTAAAATGGCAATTAAGTAAGAGGATCAGAAGGATGTACTTAGGTTTCTAGCTTCTGAAACTAGATAAATACCAGGCATAACAGCTAAGTTTTTAAGAAAAAAAAGTTGGTTTGGGATGTTTTTGAGACAAGTGAAGATGTAGCTTAAAGATCTGGGAGTCATCAGTACCTAAAACCCAAAGTGGGAGAATGGAGCAATCCTAGAGAAACTCGACAGAACATGACCTAGTAAAAGCTATGAAAAGGGTGAGCCCACTACAAAGATTAGGACACCACAGTTAAAGAAACAGGAGTAAAATCCAAGTGTGAAATCAAGAGATTGATGGATGGAATGTCAATAAGGAACTAACTACTATATAATCAAATGTCACTAGGAGATGAAATACAGAGGACCAGGAAATAATGGATCTACAGATAAGGCTATCATTCAGGTGGTCTTAGTAAGCACTCTTTCAGTAGAACTCAAAATGTGCTAGCTTATGGAATGGGAATAGAGAATGGCTTGCAAGGTGGACACAAATGTGTCTGAGATATAGCTGTAAAGTGTTAAGAGTAGGATGATAACTAGGTATAACTATTTGAACAGTGGAGACCTTAGCGTATTTAGAAACTGACAACAATAAGCAAGAAGTTGGAAGCACTCAAGAAGGAAAAGACTAGGATTCAAAGTCCAGGAATGGGCACTGGCATTAGATGAGAGTGTTTCTCACTATTTAAAGGGAAAGGGAATGGCACTGATGGGCCAGTCAGCAACAGGGACCAGATGTTACCTACAATAGCTTCTACTTTTTCTTATGGAAGGACGGTATGGCCTACAGAAAGAAAAGAGTAAGGGGCTAAGAGGGGTACAAACATTGACGTAAAATCTCAGTACCTGAGAGAAAAAAGGAGGACGATCTTTGAAGTTCCAGGCCAGCCAGGGCTACAGGGTGATGGCCTGCTCAAACACACACACACACACACACACACACACACACACACACACACACACAGTCATCAATGAGATGGTGAGAGCTGAGATTCAAAGTGGCATAAATATGCTCTACAGTGATCCCCTTGAGTAGCATTTAGTTGTTCAAATGCAGACACAAAATGCTTCATAAGGGGGCAAGGCACAAAAAGTTCAGCTATAGGAGAGAAATTACTGGAGTTTAAACGGGCTAGGAATCTAAAGACAAGTGCTAGTGAGAAAAGAAACAATGGGAAAGCTACAGCAAAATCAAGTGACGGTAGGGACAGTGACTTACTACCAAGTAGAAGGAATGTGGTCAGTGAATAAAATTAAGTAGTATTTTGCTGTTTTAGTAATAGTACTCTGAAGACTGAGTGGTTTAGAATGATGATAATAGCCAAGACACAATAAAATGGGTCAAGGAATTAAATGATCTTAACTACCAATCAAATTGTCTGTATAAACACCAAAGCATTAAGCGGTAAACAGGAAGTATAGGAGCTATGTAGAGGAAAGGGGGGAAAAGTACATTTGAATATCAAAACAGTGAGAAGGCTGCATGGATGAACAGCTTTAGAACAAACATATTGAGCCAAGGAACAGGCAGTAAAGTCCTGAAGTCACAATGACAGCACCAACACCTGTCCTCCGTTTGTGATGTGGTAAGGCTATGTTGAAATTTACTCCTGGCCTGGGGAGTGAGTCAGTGGTGGAGCCCTTTCTTAGCATGTACAAAAATCCTGTATTTGATCCCTTGAAACAGTCCTCTCCTCTCAAAAAAAAAAAAAAAAAAAAGGAAAAGGAAAAGCCCGCAAAACTGTCCCTGTGTGCTGTGCTTGCAAACACTGCCCTGCTCTCATTACTCCAATGGCTATTACTTTACGACAAGACTTGAAAATGACCAGCAGCTATAGAAACTGGGTAGTAGGAATGGGTTTTCTCCTACGTGTTAAAGGAGAGAAACTTGAGAGGAGACTGAAAGTAGAAAAACACTGACAGGTCAGAATGAGGCACATTTGTTTCTGCAATGAAGGCAGACAAGGTGCAGGTGCTGATGTGTGTAAGCGCTCTGTAGTCTGAGTGTGGGAGCACATGTGATCCCAGCACTTAGAAGTAAAGGCCAGAGGATTTGAATTCAAGGTTTGAGACGGCATAGTGAGGCTATCTCAAAAACAAAACAAGTTCAGGTAGCTCAGAGTGTGGGCTTCAGGAAGATCTGTTTCCTAGTCTTTTTCTAGCAATTACTAATTATGTGACATAGGAAGAAAGGAAACAGACGATCATTGACAGGAACAGATAGATGCTGATGTAGAGACTCTCCTAGCAGCAGGATCCTGGATCTTCACCTTCCTGTTTTTGGGAATTAAGAAGTTCCCAAGCTGCTTTACTTACATTTATACTTGTCAAGGAATGAATTTTATCATATAGACAGGAGGTCACTCTATAGGGAAGCTCCTGGTCGGCAACTTTTATCTTTCTAAAGAATAAAACCAGTTGTAGCTCGTATCTGTAATCCTAGTACCTGGGAGGCTGAGACAGGAGGATCACAAGTTTAAGGCCAATGGGCCCCACATCAAAACCACCTAAAAGGAAAAGGAGAAAAGAAAAAGAAAAAGAAAGCAGTGACTAGAATCTGTTTTTCAAGAAGTGTGTGTAAGACAAAGCTGCCCTACATTCTGGATTCTTGCTTCTTTACCTGTTTAATAGAAATAATACTTCCTAGTTTTGCAATTAAAAATGAGTAAGTATGATAAGTTTATACACAGTACTCAATAGACATGACTTTGAGACGATAACTGCTGTGGAACAAATATGGGCTCAGTGTCCCAGCTGCATTTTACTGATGGGGTCTGGGTACCGCACACGCCTTCAACTGCACAATTCTTTCCTGTTAAGTGCCAGCACTACAGGTATGCACGACAAGGCTTGGTGCAAGATCTGCATTTTAATACACAGTCCACTAAGATTTTCAAGTTTTTGGTCAACACTTGGGAGGTAGAGGCAGGAGGATCAGGAGTTCCAAGGCTGTCCTTAGTTATCATGATTTCCAGACCCCATCTCGAAAATAAAAAATAAAATGCATTATTTCTGACCTGCAGGTGGGGGAAAAAAATCTGCTTTATGAATGGTTGGTTTAATTCCTCTGTGAAAAATGAAAGGGAAGAAGTGAAGAAGAAATGGGTGACCCAGTTGTTCAAGTTCCTGCCTGGCATACACAAGTCTTGAACTTAAACCTCTGTAAATAACAAATGCAGAGCCCATACTGTTGCTTTCCCTGCATGTTGTCATTATTCTTGAAGCCCCACACGGTGGTACATGCCATCCTCATTCCTTCTCCAGCCCCACACTGGGAACGAAGTCATGTAAATGGCATCACCCAGAAAAGAGGAATCGTGAATATAGATGTGAACCCTACGGTGAGGTGGTAATGAAATTGGAGAGGCTGGCATGCATCAGTGAGAATAATGTAAGGTGGAGGGTAGAGAGCTGGGATTAGGAGATTCTAGATAAGCAGTGAAACACTAAGGAAACATTAGGGGGTCACACAGATTATACTGAAAAATCTCCCTCTAATACCATCAAACTCTCCCTTAGGTTTCTCTACTTGAGATTTGACTACCTGACTGACCCTAAAGACAAGAAGAAAGCTCTTCTTTGTATAAAGTCTTTATTGCTAATTTCACAAAGGCAGGAAATAATGACAGTAAACTGAAGAAATGTTTGAAATTCTAGACAACATCCCCATTCCCGAATTCTTAGAGGCTTTTTTTTTTTTTCTGTTGTCACTGACCTCCTAGGAATCAGTGGCTAAAGCCTATGGTGGTACTGTTTTCTTCCTCCTTTTATTGTTTGATATTTGCCTTGTTACCCTACATACATTCAAAAATTTTCTTTTGGTATGACAGCTCATAAAAACAAGCAAGCAAGCAAACAAAGAGTTATGAGCCAATGTATAATCAGGTACTTGAGTTAGACTCAAGGAGCTCTCTTTTTGGAACCAATTTCCCATTGCTATTTCCATTCTTAAAACTATACCCATAATCCCTGCTTTTTGCTGGGGGATGTGGGAATGCTGAGTTCTACATAAAGAAGGCAGTTTCTCAACTGCCAAGGGTAGTATATAGGCACTAATGACAGAATGAAGAATGGTACCAATTAATGGACAAAAGCTCCCGTCCAGAAAATCAACCAGCGTGAAAACGGGTTTATTGGCTCCAAGAAAAGGAGCAACAGTACCATTTCAGGCTCAAGCTCTCTGTACAAATTTCGACAAGCCCAAGGTCCATAGAGGGAACTACCCAAGCACCTTCTCTCCTAGGGCCAGGAAGGCTAGCTGCCTGATGGTGAGTCTCTGGGCTGTTCTGCTGGAACACCTGGCACGGCCGAGGCAGCCTCATAGTCCGCGATGCGGCGCTGGACTAGGGCGGGCATGAGGTGGACGTAAGCAGCCATGAGGCGGTGATTAGAATGGATGAGTTTTCCAGCACAGCTGTGCAGACAGGCCTCCTGGAAGGAAGAACGGACACAAGTAGAAACCAAAAGGGGCCCTGGCAAACCCTCCTCCTCCTTTCTGGGTCTCCTCTAGGGGTGAGGTCAAGGAAGAGAGAGGGAAAAAGTGGAGGGGCGAGGGCTGTCACGTCACGTTATTGTCAACTCTGCCCCCCCCCCCCCCCGCCCCAGTTTCCACCTCCTCAGTGTCCAGAGTTCGGTGGTGCAGGCTGGGCACACAGCGCTGGAAGCACAGTTCTGTCATTCGGTTGTAGACCAACAGGAAGTCTCGCAACTAAGAGAAAAGGGACCAAGGCTTCACCACCGCCGCGGCTTCCCGGGGTGCGCAGCCCGCCTCCCCCTTTGGGGGCTCTTGCGTATAACCCCGGCTTCAACCGAGCCTTTAAACCCGAGGGCAACTTAGCTATCGCTCACGTTTCTCAGTTGCTGCTGCTGCTGCTCCATCACGCCCAGGGCGTGAGGGTCACGTCACTTCCGTCCGCACCACGGGGGGGGGGGGGGGGGAAGAAAGTTCCGAGTCGCCCCGGAAGTAAACGCTTGCTACTCCACCCCGCCCAAGAGCTTGAAGGCGTGGCTTCAGGAGAGCTCTGCCCACGGCTGCCAAACGTCACCTCCGCCCTTTTCCTCTGCGACGTGGCCGGCTTCTTCTGCCCGGAGAGTACGTCACTTCCGCCAAATCTCTGACCTGCTGCTCGGATCGCGACGGGAACTGGAACCCGAGGTCCCCCCGCGGTCCGGGCCTCGCGCCCTGAGGGGAAGAGCGGCCCGGCTCAGGTGAGAAGGACATACTTGGACGAAGGGAAGTTGAACGCAGGAACCTGTACGGGGGGCAAGATGCCCTGAGCCCTTGGCAAGGATGAGGACACACCTGATGCCCAGGTGTATGGGGGTGGGGGAGCCTCTCACATCTGGGAGGCATAAACTGACGTTGGAAGGGATTGCTTGTGTCCTCGGAAAGAGAGGCTCTCACCCGACACCAGGAACATTCAACAACTGCTTCAACTAAGGCCTGGTGGGGAGGGCCTGAGGGAGGCAGGTGCATGTGGTGGAGAAAGGAGAGACCGTCTTAAGGAAGAGGAGAAGGAACACCAAAGGCTGTGAAAGACCGGGATTGCAGAGCATGCTTGAGCGGCAAGTGAGCATCTGCGCCTAGGAAAGGGTTTTGCTTCCTGGTAAACATGCTGTGCAGGGTTAAGTTCCCAGAGCGCACAGATCTTCCCGCTGGTCCTCACGGCTGTAATCCTACTGCCTCAGTATTTCACACGTAGTGGGCACTCACTGAATGTTTGCTGACTGGCTGAATGCGTGCATGGCTACTAGAGGCGAGGTTGGGGATTGTGAGAAGACACTCGAGGCTCTGGGATGCACGCATCTGTAGCAATAATGTGGTTAGAAGGGAAGACATGCACACACTCAAGGAAAGCAGTGGTGGTTGATGCCCAGGGACACGCAAGCCCTAGAACAACCTCTGAGATCTCTGAGAACACAAGGAGGGCCTCCTTGTGCTGGAGTGCTGGCCAGTTTCCAGAATTATCTGTGTTGGGCTTCACAGTGTGCTGGGGTGGAAATCTTGACTCCAGTCCCTTCCCTAGCCATGACGGACGGGATCCTAGGGAAGGCAGCCACGATGGAGATTCCCATCCATGGAAATGGTGAAGCTGGGCAGCTTCCTGAAGACGATGGGCTGGAGCAGGTGCTTCTGTTTGATTCTTCTAATTATTTCAATTTAGCAATCCTGACTTATAGACATTTTACTTTCTCTCATCCCATTAGACTTTATTTAACTAGATCCCTTCATACTTTTCAAATCTTCATTATGGTTCTGTACAGACTTTATTATGCACTCTCTCCATCCCCAAAATGTTTTCTTTACCACCGCCCCCTCTGTGTTCCCTCTTCTCTGGCCTATAGGACCTCCAGCAGGTGATGGTGTCAGGACCCAACCTCAATGAAACTAGCATAGTGTCTGGTGGCTACGGGGGCTCTGGTGACGGACTTATCCCCACAGGTATGAGTGATAGAGACAGGGGTCTTGAGTGGGGATGCCATTAGGACAGTTGGGAGGCACATAGGACACATATAGGAAAGCTTGATTTATGGACTGGAGAGCTTGAGAACTGCTGTTGTGAAATCCATAGACCGTCCAGTGCCGGAGCAGCTCCCAGAGCTGCCCGTCTGGTTCCCATTTGCCATATGAGATATCTCATTTGTCTTTTCCTCTCTGCCGCCACCACCTGAGCCAGGTCAAGACCTTTAGGTTATGAGAGCTCTGGAGCTTACGGCTGATTTGGAACTTTGTAAGGCTTCTCAGAGTTTCATTTTAGACTCTTCCAAGAATTCCACCTGGAAATACCATCCAACTTCCCTGTTTTCAGTGCCACCATCTTTGACCCTGCCAGTCTCACTCATCATGTTTGCTCCTGTCTCCTCGTCCCGTATACACCAACAACACTCCTACCCTACCCCAAAAATGCCAAATATGTACATTGAGTTGACTTGATTGTCAGCACACAAGTCCTTGTTCCCCCATTGACCAGAAGAATGCAGTTGTCTGTCTAGATTTTCCTTCTTCAGAGAGATCATTTCATGTGCTGGGAGGGAAGTGGGGCCACAGAAGTGTCTGGTTGTATCTGAGAGAAACTAGTGTCAGAGAACTTGGTCCTTTAGGATCTGGCCGCCATCCATCTCACAGCACCTCACCTTCTGGCCCTGGTGATGAGGTGGCCCGGGGCATCGCTGGAGAAAAGTTTGACATCGTCAAGAAATGGGGCATCAACACATATAAGGTAAGATTCAAGGGCCTCTCCTCAGAAACTCCATGGGACCTTTTCCCTTTCCCTGGATCTTTGCTATGACTAAGGATGGGAGTGCTGGAGTAGTTACTTATTGGGGTTGGGGTGAGGTTTAGATTTCTGACCTCCCCTCCCTCCCACTTCCCAATCAGTGCACAAAGCAACTGTTATCAGAGAGATTTGGCCGAGGCTCCCGGACTGTGGACTTGGAGCTAGAGCTGCAGATTGAGTTGCTGCGTGAGACGAAGCGCAAGTATGAAAGTGTCCTGCAGCTGGGCCGGGCACTGACAGCCCACCTCTACAGCCTGTTGCAGACCCAGCATGCACTAGGTGATGCCTTTGCTGACCTCAGCCAGAAGTCCCCAGAGCTTCAGGTGCCTCAGCCAAAATGAAGAGGGTGGGGGAACTGGGCCCTGGCCCTTCCAGGCAGGCATTCCTCAGCCTCCCTCCCTCCCTCCTGCAGCCCCCAGGGAGAATCCCTCAGGGTGGTGCCCAGTCCTGCCCCAAGCATCACTCACCTATGGAGGCAGCCTAAGGGTTTGTACAGAGGTCCAGAAGTTGGAGGGGTTGTGGGAGAGGGCTCACCAATTACAGCCTCCCAAGTAACCTTTCTCCATGTCATCGAGAATGCCTGTGGTGCTTGGCCTAATCAGAGTCCCCCCTGCCTGCTGCACTAGCTTCCCGTGTTCCTGTCCTGTAAACTCATCTAAGACCTCCTACCCCAGCACTCCTACCTCAGGCATCCACAAGGCGACCTTACTAACTGTGGCTAAGAGAGCCTGGCTAAAGGCAGTCTGGTCGTTTCAGTTTTGATGGCTGCTTCTTCTTTGGGATGGAGGGAAATGAAGGGCTCTACAGCTCCAGTCAGGTAAGGACTGTTACTCAAGGCCTGTGCCTCCCTTCTGCCCTTAGGAGGAATTTGGCTATAATGCGGAGACGCAGAAGCTGCTGTGCAAGAATGGGGAGACGCTGCTAGGGGCTGTGAACTTCTTTGTCTCTAGTATCAACACACTGGTCACCAAGACCATGGAAGACACACTCATGACTGTCAAACAGTATGAGGCCGCCAGGTGTGGGCACTGACAAAGCCCAAGGTTTGGGAAGTTGGCTGGCGGGGGTGAAAATTGAAACATTTAGGGGCATACACATTGAGAAAGGAGAGGAGTTCTGTGTGTGAATGAAGAGGTGGAGACCAGCCTTTATCACCCCCTTCCCAGGCTGGAATATGATGCCTACCGGACAGACTTAGAGGAGCTGAGCCTAGGCCCCCGGGATGCAGGGACGCGTGCTCGACTTGAGAGTGCCCAGGCCACGTTCCAGACCCATCGGGACAAATACGAGAAGCTGCGGGGAGATGTAGCCATCAAGCTCAAGTTCCTGGAAGAAAACAAGGTGCTGCTCTACTCCCTTGGTCCTAAATCACCTTCCCATCTGACAGTGCCCCTCCTTTCAGGCCCTCCTGATTGTTGGGTGGGGAGATGCAGCCTGGCCAGAGAGTGGGTTGTTCCCTAGGCCCTTGATACATGAGCATTTTCAGGTCACGGCTACCCTCTCCATCACTAGCCTTTTTTGTTGAGGATCTGGTTACTAGTCTCAGGAGCATAACTGAAAAAAAAAAAAAAATTGCCTCCTGGGCTGCGGTGCCAGAACCTAAGACCCAGCAGATAAAGTCAGGTTTCTTTCTTCATAGTGTCCCTTCTCTTTTGACTTCTTGGAAAGCCCCCACCCCCACAGCCCTGTCAGCAGAGTCCATGCTCTGGTGTCTGCCTGGGATTAGGCTCATTGCCCCTCAAGAGGGGTGCTTGAGTCCAGGCTTAGCTGACCTTGCCGGGCCCCTAGATCAAGGTGATGCACAAACAGCTGCTGCTCTTCCACAACGCGGTGTCCGCCTACTTCGCTGGGAACCAGAAACAGCTGGAGCAGACCCTGCAGCAGTTCAACATCAAGCTGCGGCCTCCAGGAGCCGAGAAGCCTTCCTGGTTAGAAGAGCAGTGAGAGGCTTCCAGCCCAACTTGGCTATCAAGAAAGACACAGGGCGGGGCAACCCCAGGGTGGAGGAGATTGGACATGGGCCGTCCTTTGCCACCTACTTGCTGGCTTGGGCTCCCCTTTCCCGGCTGGGGTCTGACAACAGCTTTGCCCGCACTGCTGTGGTCTGAAGAGGGCCTGTAGGCCCAGGAGCTGCTGCCCTGTCCTTTATCTTCCTGGCCACTGAGCTTCATTCTCAGATTCTTTCCTTTCACTCCACAGCCAAAGGCTATGACAAAACACTCCCTGGCCAATGGCATTCACTCCTCAGGCCTATCCCCAGCTCTTGGGCTGTGCCCCTGACCAAAGACAGGACCTCAAAAGGCTCTGTCAGCCAATGGCAGCTCTTCCTGGGCTCCCCTGGGCCAGTAGTGTTGCCTCCAATACCCTTTGTCCCTCCTCGATTTGTGACCATTACAGAGAAGGGAACTGGGACCAAAGGGGTGGGGATAATGGGAAGCCCCATTTATGGCCCTGCATCTGAATGGGCCCTCCCCTGGTCCACCCACCCAGTTGAATTGTGCTTAGAGCCCCAGAAGACTGGGTTCTAGCACTAGGAATAAACCTTTCGTAAAAGCAGGCCCAGTGAGGTCAATTTGTGGGGGACTAGAGGAGGGTGGACGGTAAGAAATTTCCAGTAACCATCCAATTTTTAAGAATTT